TGCCGGTTTCTCAAAATCTGTTGGTTTTGAGCTAGAGATTGATTTTTTATCGTGATAAATTAAAATCCAATAGTATCCAACAAGACACTCAACATACAGAGACCCAGTTTTTTCCCCCTGAGATGTTCACTATCTCTGATATTAAAATGGATCTGAGAGCCTGAACATTGAAGCACAGGAGCAAATGCTACAGCTGTAAGGCAGACAGGAAGCAAGGCAAATGTAGACACTGACGGCGAGCAGAGGGCGTTGCCTATGTTGTGGGAGTGACTCCATCTGCCCAGCCAAGGCGTCTTGAGTGTATGTGCTGGGAGCTCTCAGGTGTCCCTCCTCTGTGGGTCCTGGGTTTCTTCGTTGTCAATGAGTGGGCTCGTTGATGCCTAAAGAAACTCCCAGCCTTGACTGCTTAGGACCGTGTGACTGATTCATGAGCACCATTGCTCTGTACTCACTGCCCGAGTGGCAAACTTCGTAGCTTGGATTTTACAGCTGGCATGTGGCCTAGACAATCAATATTTGAAGTTGATTTTCACGATTTCCTTTTTCTTTTCTTCCCTCTTTCATTCTTTCCCCCTGGACTACCTTCCCTTATTTCTACAAGGTCCACTATCATTCCTGTCACCTGACAGGCCACATGCTAGATACAACAATGAATGAGACAACTGTGAAAAATAAGTATTTGCAATTTATATGCCACTTGATTTATGGTGTTTTTGTCGGAGCAGCTCCAACAGATGGAGACAGGTGTTCTGCATCAAGGATTCTCAACCAAACTACCACTGTTAGCTACACCACTGAAATGATCAAGACCTCAGTTTTCTCATCTGTAAAATGGTGGTAATAATGGCATCTGCATCATAGACTGCTGGGATGGATTTAGCACGAACATTACACATAGTATAGCAAACAAATGATGGGCCAGTCAAATGAACAAGCCCAAGTCACCTGATGGTGGGGTCATCTCAGAACTCGAATGCACACTACTGACCTCCAGTGTTTAACAGCAACATAGGGCCCAGAAATATTTATCATGAAGTTTATAGTAATTCATAAAATTGTGACAGGAGATATAATGTGAGTCAATGGGGTTTTCTTGAAAGAGAAAGAACTTAGGAAAGATCTGTGCTGAGCCCAGAACTGTCCCCACATATGCAAAATGAAGATGACACCAGCCTTGCCTTGGCTTCCACGGGCCTGGTTTGAGCACCTTGTCACAGACTGAACTGCAGCCTTTGCTTCTTCTGATTTGTTCCTACTATTACTTAAAACAGGAAGTTTACATGTGGCATTTTCTGCATTCTTACTGATTCCCCTGACATATTAACAATACCGAGGCATCTGAACATATGAACAGCTTTCAATATTGATTTATTCCCTGCCACAAGCTAATAATAAAACAAGTTACTCATATAAGGATTGGTATCAAGAGCACTTTGAAATTTAAGACAAGGTGTAAATTGCTGCAAAGGGTCTCTTTAATTGGGATCAAAACATTTTTGACAGCTTTTGAATTTTAAAATTCTAGCTATTGTCACGTTTTGCAAATGTTTCTTTTCTTGGTCTGGTAAAAAAAAAAAAGTGCAGTCAAGCTTCAGTAGGAATATTTTAGACAAGATAAACAAGTAAGATTTGTCATTCCAAGTAACAAAGACCCAGTTTTGTGATATGTAGGACAGAATACTTAGATCCTTATCCTGTTCAGTTCAATCAGTCTCCTGTTGGGCAGTAACAAAGGTTTAGTAAACTATTCCTTCTCTTAGTCTCCAATGCAGGTTTTGAAGAACCTCCATTTATCTACAAATAAATCACACCAATAGAAATGACTTTAAGGGAGAAACAGAATCAAATCACTGGTATTGGAAATCAACTAGGATGTAACCTTGCTCAACATCTCTTCTACCTACCTCCCCTCTAAAAGTGCCCCATCACATGGCGATTGCAAGGACAGTCCCAGTGATGATGGACAGATGTGCACAGAAGGTGGTTCACCTAACTGTTGAACAGCCCTGGAGCACAGACAATTCTTCCCACTGATAAACTGAAACTTCCCCTTAGAAACTTCCATCACCAGTTGTGGTTCCATTCCCTGAGGTCCCACAGAGCACAGCATCTCTCTACAACTCTGCAGAGAGGGACAATATTGATGTGGGATGGACTGTTCTTTCCTCATCATCTCTACTGCAGGCATAAATATGTACAGCTTCATCCACCTGTCTCCCCTGGACTCATGCTGAGGCATGTTAAGAAGCTAAGGTTGCAGAAGTCAGATGCCAGAGGCCTAATGTTAATCAAACAGCACTGGAGTTGACTAAGCCAGACAGAAAACATTGAACTCGGCCTTCTTTTTGATTTTCCACTAGGGAGCTGACATCCTTTCCACAAAGCCAAATGGCTGTGAGTCGAAATGGTGATTTTATTGTTTTGTCTCTTTGTGTCAAACTAAAGAATAAAAAATAAGGTTTGGTGGTATCTTTCTTTAGTCACTTGTGAGTGAAGTTTTAGAAAAGGTAAAAGAATGTCAAGCATCTCTTCTCATTAGTTAAAACCCAGTGACTGGGACTGTAATCATCTGGCACAATCTACTTGGTGGTGGGGAACGTGATGGAGAGCAAAGTCCAACAGAATGGGCCTGGGACAAGATAAAGCAGCTCATCCTCTGCTCCACTCATGTCCCTTGGTTTCTACCACTTGTCATGGGGATTGACAGGCAGGGAACTGGGAAGAGATTAGAGATGATGACATAATACTGGGGCATATAAATCACGGAGCAGTATCTCTCAGTTGGGCTTGACTCACTCACATTACTTGGTGCTTATCAAGGATGCTTCAGTAACAGCTTCTAAGTTTCCGTAAGCCCCAAGCTCCGTGTCCCGTGTTATCACCGATCTCATGAGAAACATCTATGCTGAAAAGTCCTGGCTCAGCAGTTTCCAGTGCCCCCACACTCCAATCACCCTCACAAGGATATGGTTGGATTTGCTTATATCCTTTTTAAAACTGTTCACTAAAAAGCTGAGGTGCCAAACTAGAGTCTATCTAGGAAAAGCAAAGACTTTCTTGGTTTCAAAAAGCATACTTTTTATAAGGGAAGAAAGGCTGACATTAGGCTCTTAATCTTGCTGGTTCAAATACTTTTACCACTGCATGCCTGTGCCCTCATTATGAACTTCCTCTTACTTTCAGAAAGGTAAGCCTTTCCCTACTAGATCAAGGTCACTTGCTTTGAGTTTTGACCCAGTTCTGCCTCCTACATGCTGGGTGAACTTGGGAGCATTCCTCATCCAGAGCAATAATAGGTACCACAATTAAGTGAAAAGACATATGAGCTAAACTGCCTGGATTCTCACCCTGTCTTCACTACCACTTACTTTCAGGAAGTCACATGAATTTGTCTGTCCTTGATGTCTTCCACTCTAAGGTGGCGATCATAAATCTATTTTCCTTCTACAGTTGGGAGGATTTGTTGTGTTGGTACTTACAAAGGGCTAATACATGCCTGGCACATAATATGCACTTGAGTAAGAGATTATTATTATTATCTCATAGGGCAAATGGTGTGAAGGAAACAGAATAGTGTATGTAAGGGAACTAACATATACTTAGTGTGCTCAACAAATGGTAGTGACCAGCATCAGGCTCTCATGGTGGTAAAGGATATCTAATACAACTTCTGCCATGGTAAAGTGCACAGTTCAGCGACCATGAGGACACCCAGCGTATGCAACCATCTCTACCCACACCCCACTTCTATTTCTTCCCAAACTGTGACTCTACTTATTAATCACCGACTTACAGCCACCTCTCCCCACCTTCTGTTCCACACCTTTCCCAGTTTGGCTCCTCTAGCTATCTTATAGAAGTGCGACCCTACAGAGTGTGTCTTCTTGTCACTGGCTTATGTAAAGATTTATCCATGCTGTAGCACTAGTCAGAACTTCTTTCTTATTGCTGAACAACATCACACCATAGGTATGTACCATAACCATACTTTGCTCATCCATCTCAGTCATCCTTAATGGACACTTTGGTGCTCCTGCCTTTTGGCTACAATGAACCCGGACATACTAACATCTATTCTAATATTAGTTATTCGGGAATCCTTTTTCCTTCAGAAAACCTATTTGCACTGTTAATTATCACCCTGCTACCTTGTATGGTATCCAAACATGAATCAGGATAAAGTGAGAAAATAATAATGGAAAAGGACTTTGGCTAAGTGGCTTGGCTAGATGAATACTGTTTACAAAGTGAAGTTCAAAGGTGGCCTATGTGGAGGTGTTTTATAAGCTGTAAAGCACTCTGGTAATAAAAGAAAAACAAGTCCTGTCAACTCTCGCCCTCTTGACTATAGAGATCCTAGAATGTTTTTCTGTTTTTTCCTTACGGTCAACAAACAGGATCGACAATGTCAGGCAAACTCTGGGGGTGAGCCTGGGAGCTAATTGCTGCTGGGAGGTTGATGAAAACACAATCCGCATCTTTGGAGGGTTCAACAAACATATCAGCCCTTCCATTTCCTGGCCATGCAGTGATAGATTTTTTTTTTTTAAGATTGAGAACTCCATTTATTCCTTTTGATTACAGCAATTGCAAGGTGCCACAGGTTAAACTCAAGAGAGTCTGGCTGCATTGACCGAGTCAAAAGACCTACATGTGTCTCCCTCTAGGACGTATGTCATTAAAGTTGCCAACACAAAGAAATTTAACTTAAACTGTCACATTACCCACTGTTCTTCAAAGCTCATCAATCTCCTGTTAGATTACCAGGACTGTGTGACACTTTTATCACAATTACACCGTAAGAAACATGGCGCAGAGTCACACTGTGGCCAAGCTAGGGAAGAGCCTGTCTTTGATGGACGATCACAGTTGATCAAGTATGTCAGTTGCTTTATGTGTTTTTATGCTTGTTTGATATTCCTGCCTAGAGAGTGGAGGCTTTTAAGGGCACATCTGTCAATGGATTCAATTTCACAATGCCATGTGATGCTTTTACTTACCCCTGTCTTCTCATCAAAGATTTTGATTCCTCCAAAGGAGATGGTTAAAAAGATTTTCTGTTTGTGTTCTCCTTTGGAACGCGCGCCGGCAACAACGCCCTGTTGAAAGGAAGGACATGGTTTTTACTTCAGTGTTTTCATTTGATAATTCCCTCTGGTCCCAAAAGTGTGTCGGATACCATCAACTGATGCCACCAATCACGTACACTTCTTCCCTGAGCCCATCCAGGCTGCCCTGCCCAACATGTTCCCATCTCGATGTTTTAGTAGCATTTATCTTAGCTGCTCTGACACCGCAGAAGAAGATATGTGAACACCGATTCATTTGACTAATCAAGATTTATAGAACATCTACCTTGCATGCAGAGACTTGGCCCAGAATTGGAAATCCCAATATAAACAGTCTCTGTGCTGGGTTTTATTTTGGATAGGTTTTTAATCTTTCAAATACAGGCATGCCACTAAATATATTCCTAAATGTGATTTTATTTTTGTCCTTCTGGAAAAAGTTTCATAGGAATCAATTTTAGAGATTAGAAAGAAATAAAAACAAAACTGTTGCCAGCCTGGATATTTCTTTTCTTTTCTTTTTTTTTGAAAAAAATAGGATCATTATAGCTATCTGCCTATGGTTTACAATTTTCACCCACAGACATTTTGTACTTTTCACCACCCTTCCCTAGCATTCCTATGCTTTAAAGGCATGTGCCTATCAGATGCATTTCATATATTAATACATGCATTTCCCCACTTCTTTGATTTTTTTTTATAAGCCAAAGATATGTATGTGAGTAAGTGAGAAGGAAAACTTCACAAAGCATTGCGACATTACCCTTCTCACTGCTGTATCCTCTGTGACCCAGGCAGTCCCTGGATAGAAGTAAATTACTATTTAATAGATGTGCTAACCAGTGTCCCTTAAGATGGTAGGATGCAGGTTAAGATACTTGCTTTTAAAATTTGCCTCTGTGAGGTCAGTTACAGACAAGCCTGGTCTTCACAGTAGGGTAGAACAAGGATAACTCCAAGTCAGGGGATTCATACTAAGGCTCTGCGCTCTTTCTCTGGTGCTCAGAGGCTTCCATCTCCTCATCACTCTCACTTCCACAGAAGGTGAGGTTAAGCCCAGCTCTCAGCAGTTAAGGTTCAGAGATTTTTGTTGTAGATGAGTCAAAATGAAAAAAGAAAAATTCTCCATTTGCTATAACATGGATGGGACTGCAGGAGATAGCAATAAGTGAAATTCAGCAGAAGGAGAAAGAGAAACACTAGATGATTTCACTTATATGTGGAACACAGAGAAGCAAAACAAAGGACCAGACAGAACCAATCTAATACAAACCCTAGAAATTAGGCTGTGGAATTGCCACTACCAGAGGAGAAGATGGAGTGAAGAGCAGAGCAGAGTGTGAAAGGTGCCTACTGGACTGTGGTGGAGGACGATGGGTACCCTGGTGGTGGGGGTGGTGTGGTGGCATACATCTGAAGGAGTATGATACTATATAGCTACACTCTATGCACTGCTGTAAAACACTGTCACCCAAAGGATAAATAATAAATAAAACAAATGTAAAGAAACAAAAATGACTTCCTATTTCCAGGAAATAAAAGCAGTGTGGTGCTCTCAGAAAAGCAGCCTTTCCACACCAGCCTCAGAGACTGACCAGCATTTGAGTGTACAGGTATGTTGAGGCCCAAGGCAGTTGGTATGTTCTCTTGAGTGCTGGATTTCACCACTGACTCTCTGTGATCTTGGATCAATTAATTTTTGAGTTCTACTTTCTCAGGTATAAATCCTTTTCTCACATGCTTGAGAATTAAATAAAAATCTCTGTAAAGCACCTAGCACCATGCCTGTTACTCTGTAGAGGTATAATAAAAATTAGTTTCTCTGAGTGAGTGAGTGGCTGGAAATGAATGTGGTCAGCTCCTGTCTGGGTACCTACTAGTAGGAAACCCAGTCGCTCATTCATTCATTCTCAAGTACCTCTTGCACAATCACCATCCAACAGAATGGCAGAGCCAGAGAAAATCTGAAAGCTAATTAGTACTGATTTCCCAATTCGCAGAGGGGAAAAAGTGATGCCCAGAAAGCAGCGGTCAGTCTCTAGAAGGCACTGGGAGTCGGTGAAAATGCTGAGACTCCCACTCAGCTTTCCAGCCTCTGTGCAGGGAGCAAGGACTACTTACAACATGCCTTCTTTGCTTTCTAGCAAGTTCTCTCAAGCACCCCTGCCCAGGGCTTCTCTTCCAAACCTCAGGACTCAACACACTGACAGCAGATCCTTCTCCAGAGAATGCCTTCTAACAGGCAGGAAGTGACTCACCCCAAAGCTAAGTCCTTTGTCTCCTCAAAGTATTCTAGGTTCTTCCATGTGCTGCTTGTTTTCCCATGAATTCACTGAGAGTGATTCTATGGAACATGGGGGGTGGGTCAAAGTATGTCTGCAATCCCAGGGGGAATTCCCACAGTCTGCTCAATGCCAGCCTAACAGAGACATTGTCTCTGATCCTGCCACACCAAACTACCTCTTCCTCCTTCAATTCTCAAGGCACTACCACCACAGATAGACACATATATTTGTTGATTTTCTAGCTTTGCCCACTACAAGGAATTTCTTTCTATTTGTTCTGTGTGCCCAGTGTAGGGAATAGAGGCCTGGAAAAAGTGAAGGGACTTTCTTTCGTTAGTCAGGCACCGGACAAGGCAGGCTTAGGACCTAGGGATGCTTGGCTTTAAACCTGTGTGGTTGGCTGGATACATACACAAATGGGCAAACAAAAGTCGACTTGGCAAAAATGCAGGGCCTGGAGGACCAACTCAAAGGGGTGGAGGTGTTTCTTGTTTAGTTCCTTTCTTATTGAGAACATCACAGAGCAGGATGGAGAAAAGGATGCACCTTTGGTCAGAGATTTGTAGCAACATCTCATACCAGTCCCGGGCTTTTAGAATCACTGCAACATCAAATAATCACCACATCTGGCCTACAGAAGTGCTGATGAGGGGAGGCTCTCCCCTGTATCCTGGTTGCTAGTAGTTGTCAAAGCCCAGCCTGGTAGAACAGGACTGTCCATAAAAGGGAAGGGAAAGAAAGAGCAACACACATGTTCTTGGGGCATTTCTGCTTGGGGCTGCTGGTGGGAAGCATACAGGACAAATGAAAGAGAGAAAACTATCCACACGATGCTATCTTTGGGGAAATGAAACTCCAATTTTGTTAAGCACATTTCTCCTGTGAGACAGGACCTTGAGTCAAGCTTTGAAAATTTTTACTGAGTCGAGGCACCCCTGCCACCTGCCGGCATGCCTCGGGGTCTCCTCTGCTCCTGCAGATTACTCATTGCTGATATGCAGACCTCAGCCAGGTCCCAGAGACAACTCTGGCTGGGGAGTAGAAAGATATAGATGTGGGTGCCTAATACTAGCAACCTCACCTAGGAAGTCACTGTTGGAAACCTGGAAATTAGGGGTCCAGACATAGTTGTGGGTCACTACTATATGCTAGAAGTTCCCACAGGTCATAATTTAGCCCACACTGTGATCCTGGAACATTAAGTATTACCTATCTTATTTTGCAAATGAGGAAACACAAGGCCAGGGAGTCAAGGGGTCTCCCCAAACTTAGGAAACTAACAAGACATGAGATAACTCAATAGTTAAGTTTTGGTGTGGTTCTCAGTGTTGGTGTTTCATCTATTATAATCCTCTCTGAGGACCATTCTGAGAAGAGCATTAAAAAAAAAAACAACAACATAATATACTACACTACAAATATGTCATCAATATTCTGAAAATAGCTGGGTGAACCAGTAGCTCCTAGACTCAGCAGTATAGAGTGTAAGGAAGCCGGAAAGTGAGAATAGCCACATTTCTTACCTAATCAGAGTGTACAGTTTCCAGTCCTCACTTAGCCACGTGTGTACCATGCAGGGAGAGCTCAGCAAATAACAGGTATCATGATGACTGGTGCCATTGTTGGTGTTATTAGCAATACCACACGCTGTGCAGAGTGGGATGCAACCGACCCTCCACTCACAGACAGACAGCCTTCTGATGGATGGATTTATGTGCAAGGCTGCTCTGTCCAGTTCATAGCCTCAACATATTTTTGCCCAGTGTCTCTGACAAATGACTGCTTAAGTCAGTGATGTGGGGCTTACTGCTGGGAGTTTAAAATCCAGTTGGGGCTACCAAGATAAATTAAATGAAATAAAAAACAAGATACACATAAGCATAAACTATTCTTATCAAACACTGGGGACTTGGGATCTGGATTTAAATTTCGGGCTTACTAGATTAAATGAATGATCTAGGGCCAATCCTTTAAAATTTCCATGAGCTTCAGGTTTCTTATTTACAAACAGGGGCACTAATATCTATTTCATAGACTCGAAAGAGACCATGACCTTGTGTGAAAGTGTTTTGTTGGCTCTACATTAAAGCAGGACGAAATGGTGGTGCTTTGCTGCTGGAGAGGCAATGGGATCATTCATACTCACAGTATGAATCCCTCTCTATCATCCAAGCATTCAAGGCAAATTCTCTAAAACAGGATCTTTAGATTCTTTAGGCTACCTTGCAAAAAAAAAGTTTTTTTTTTTAATTTTTATTTCTCATAGGGTCTAATATGTAAAAGTGAGCCTTTTTGTAATGCTAAGAGGCATTTTGTATTTCTCTCTCTCTTCATTTCCTGGGAAGGTGGCCAAATGGGGAATTGATCATTTATGTTTCTGTGTTTCCGAAAGAAAAACCACTGGGAGCTAAAATGTCAACATTCTTCTTTGCAACTTGTGAATAATGAAACACAATTGTCTAGGAACCCAAGATCCCCTCAACAAGTTCAGAGCATTTGACAGGAGTCTGTTATGGTAGGACTAACTCTCAGGGCTTTGGGGACCTCACAGTCATGAGGGGTGACAGACGGAGCCCTTCGATACAGGTACTGTGTATGCACAAGTGTGCATGTGTGCACGCACACATGGCAGACAGTCATGGTCAGGCCCGGTGCAGTGGGCTTTACGGAGCCCAGATTGAGTATTGCCTCATCTCCATTCAACCCATCAAAGCAGCCGGCCAGTGGGGTGCCTGGTGAATAGGCATCTACCAGAATCTTGCTAAGACTCATCAAATCCTCTCTCCTCTTCAGCAATCTTGTGGCTCTGGGTGAGAACCAGTCACTAGAGATTTTCTTGCTGTCTTTTAATTAATATTTGTCAAGAGCAAATCTCCATTTGCCTGACCATGCATGCAAATGGGCTTCATGGACTTCAGAAAGAATCTGGATCCTGGATTTTCTGCCGACCCATGATGAGAGGTCTCGGTGGAGAGGCACATGTGCCTTTATCTGAATAGGGGATTTGAAAGTGAGCATGTGCGGCTCAGTCTCTGCTGGAAGTGGGTGCAGCCTGCTCTGATTTCCTGCCTAAGTCACAGGCCTTGCTCTGGGGTGAAGAATGGCTGAGGACAGTGGGGGAGGCACAGAAAGCCAGCTCCCCCACACAACAAGCACAATGGCCTCTCTCTCCAGGGTGCATGCTGTGACCGTGTCTCTAGAGCAGCATTTATCATTCTTACAGCTGAATTTAGAGTTCTTCCCGTCAGATTCCTTTTTATGTTTATCAATCAGATTTGAACTTGGCAGAAGAGGGCTCATTTTTGGCTATCCTAGAATCCTTTGAAATTGTGTAATATAAAAAAGGATTATTAATTTCTTCCAAGGTGATATTCTATGAAATCCTTATTTTGATGTCATGCCTATCTCTTGCTAGATACTGGCTCTTAAAGTTTTCTTATGTAAGGTAAGCATTTTTATTTAAATAATGGATGAATATCTTAAAAGTTTTCATTTAAAAAAAAAGACAATTTCTACAGCCATCCCATGGGGAGATTTAGCATCTGATATCTGTGTTAAATTTCTGAGAGAATGTGTGCCAAATAAATAAATAAATAAATAAATAAATAAATAAATAAATAAATAAATAAATAAAAGCTGTGGTTTATTACGTATGAATGAAAAGGCAATTAGAG